TTTTTTTTTTTTTTAAGGTTTTAATATTAAGCAGCCCATTTTTCCCCCACTTACGTGATATACAATTTAACAGCAAAATTGCAAAAAGTTTTAAAAGCAGCATATAAGTTTAGAATTTCCAAAGTTTTAGCATACATTTTTTTGCTTTTTTAGTCTTTTCTGAGTTCAACATATCAATGTTCAGTTTTCTTACTAAGTTCGCTTTAAAAAAACTTTTTTTGTCTTTTTATTATTAATGTGTTGTGTGTTTACTTTACTTCTAAAATATCACATTCTTGATTCAAAAGCCACATAAAATTTGATTCAACAGCAAAGTCACAAAATTTTTAAAAACAGCATACCTTTAGAATTTCAAATAGACAGTCTTATGCATTAGGAATAAAAAATTAGTGCTGCTAATGCTCACTTTTAAATCATTGAGTTTGTTAATCAAAAATCTGTTAAAGATTTACAAAATATGAAAGAGATAATAAAACAAATTCGAAATTTGATGGCTCTAGGCACTGTTGTTTTTTCACAGTGCAAGAAACATACATACATTCATGCACATTCTTCAGTATTTAATTTCTTTAAATACATATTATACAGGGCGTTAATATTTTGTGACAATAATTTGAAAAGCAATAAGCTGTTTTTAGCGATTCATTATCAAATGCCATTTTGAGACTATTATCCCTGGGTTAATAAAATCTAACATTTTATACAGTTCTCATAGAGATGTTATTTTTCTAGGAACAACATAACTATAATCTCAGAACTTCTGAGAACAAACATATTTAGGAAGCAAGTAAAAAACATAAATTTCTTGATATGGCAATAAATGATTTTATTTTGCGTAAATAATGTCTGTTATTGAATTTATCCTATTATTATGAAAATATTTAATGATTGTATCCCTTTGAATTTTTGAGGTAATGTATGAAATGTTCTGATTTTAACTCACGAAAGTACAATTAATGTTTTAGGAATTGTAAATTTTATTCTTTGGGGGCTACACACAAAGTTATACTTTACTTATGGAACCCTACTTCCTATGAAAAAAGCAGTGAGCTATGAAAATTTTAACAAAAGCACTTTATGTCATTAAAACAAAATACTGAATCATAATGCTTCACATTTTACAAAAATAGAAAAGTAACAGTGCATAAATAAAAAGATATTTAAGGATCAATGCAACCATCTTCGCACAATTTCAGCCTTTTATAGATAAAAGGTAAGAATTACTTATTGGGTACAAGCTGTTGATTTTTACAACTTTAAAAAAAAAAATAAAAATCTATCAATATTTATTGCTAGCTAGCCAAAATACTATCAATATATCAAAAGAAAAAACATTTAAAAAATTAAAATTATTAAATACAAGATATAATACACTTTAAAAAAAAAAAATTTTTTTTACACTCATCGAAGTATTTTTTTTTCTTTTTTTTTTTTTTTTTTTTTTTTTTTTTTTTAAAATCCATATCGCAAATTTTTTGTTTGTTTTTGTCCTCATGGTCTGTTTTCACCTTAAAAAATTAGAGCATTGCATAAAATTGGAAAATGAATGCATCATGACAATCTATTAATTCTTCTCCCATCTATTGTTCGCTTAGAGATGATTTGGGGCCAAAAAATTACCTTTACTGGCAAAAACTGTAACAGCAGTTTTTTTTCCACTGCTGGAAAATTCTGCAAGTAATATTTTAAAACTGAGTTGGGGGGGGGGGAGAAGGAATCTCATAATTGGTCGATTAAAAAATATTTGGAAGTGGAAATACCACTAAAAAAAGTATAAAAAGAACACACAGACACACACACACACACAAAAAAAAAAAAAAAAACAGTAAAGTGACATGACTGAAGGATTGTTGCCTGCAGAATGTTCATATGCATGGTTGCCAGAGTTCGGCACATTCTGGAAAACTGGCGACATCTACTAAGGTGGTTCCAATAATACATAAATACCAATAAAAAATTGTTTTAAAGTAATAAATGCATTTACAGTTTCAAAAAAAAAACTAAAATTACAAGATACCATAGAAATAACATAAAATAACAATTAAATCTAATTATATAGTTACTTCATGCCAGAAGCTGCAACACATTTTATTTCCTTTCACCTCAATTACATTTTAGAAGGTTTTGGCCAAGCAATGATTTTCCAAAAATGTTTTTATATAAAGTTTGGGCTTTAATTCTCTTAAAAGTTCCCATTCATTAAATCTGTATACTATACAGTCAAAAAAAATCTTATGGAAATATTGTTCATCAAGCTGAAGCCTCACTGAATTTCAATGCTATTAATGGTGATAGTCTCAATACTAAATTTAGTTTTCTTTACACTATTAGGAATTTCATTATGCAGTTTTCCTGTTAATGCCATCTCAGGAAATCCTAACAATAATATATTTTTATTTAATGCTTTAAAATAAAATAATTATTTATCAATTATAATAATCATACATGAGATATATTTTTATTGGAATAAGTAACAAGCAAATAAATAAATTTTTAATGACAGTTCAAAAGTATGTATACATTTTCTGATGCACCCTGTATATAGACATAGAAAGAGAGCTAAAGAAAGCTTCAAAAAGCTGCAAATTTAAATTTAAGCACTTACTTTTGTTAAGCTCTTGACTTTTTTAAGATGTGCTGAGATGGTATCCAAAGGAACCTAGAATACAAAACAACCCTGTTAAACAAATAAAATTTATAAATTTATGTCATAATTAAATTTTATCTGTTATTATTATATTCACTGGTGTTCTCATACTTTTTCTTATTCATGCATCAGGAGACAATTTTACTTGGTGCTCTCTATTGAAGTTTCAATATACATATTGCTCTAAAAAGATGCCTACTGATACAAGCCCCGCAGGTTCATGGAGAATACCTAAAATGATTAGGCTAAATGAACAGAACGACTTGAAAAAAATAACACCTTTTACAGTCAAGATACACAACTATAAACAGAACAAGAAGAAAAACAGAGCTAAGGGGCTAGGGCAAAATTATCCTCAACAAGTAAAAAATACCACAGATGGCCAAAATCACTTGTAGAGTCGAAAGCAGTAAGCATTCAGTAAGGAGCTCAATAATTGTAAAAAAAAAAAAAAAAAAGAGATTTCCGATTCAAATGGCTCACAGTGTTCACATCCTCCTGTTCCTATGGTTGCTTAACAGGCAGAAGAAGTACTCCTGAAAGCTTTGAAAATTATCACAATTATGATCTGAAAATACTTTCTCTAGAAACTTCCAGAATGTCACCTAATTAAAAGAAATTGCCAAATCTGGAAGGAAGGTTTTTGCTGAATCTCAAATTTTACTTGAGCTGTCCTTACAACTGTATCATCAACTGACTTAGAATTAAAAGTTCTATGAATTAATAAATGAAGTATACATATGCAAACAAAATAGGTGGCCATAAATTCAAAATTAAGTAACATACACAATAAACAAATTACCTTTATATCTTCAAATATTGATTCTAGATATGTATTTTCTAGTTGATTTTGCACTTACTTAATAAGAAAGAATATTTAATTATTCAAGACATAGATGTGCAGTTTTTTATTTTATCATTTGACTACCAGACTGAGTGGCTATTATTTCCCTTTTCCTAAGTCATCAAATTTGCAGTAAATGATTTCATATTTAATGTACAAAACTACAAAATATTCAAAATAGTTAAAGTTAAAAAAATAAATAAATAAATAAATAAATTACAAAAATCTTGATCTCAGATGTCATATCACTTTATCTCCAAAAGGTAAGAATTTCTATTATTAAAACAATGTGCATCAAAATATGCATCAGATTTCCTTAAAACATTCCCTCCTACTTTTCCAACTGCAGTTATGTACTTTGTATTAATTAAAATCAATTAGTAATTACTGACAATTAGGTTTTGGTTCAAAAACTGTTTCTTAAAAGTTTTGTGCTCCTCCTATTTTTGAAGGAAAAAAAAATTGCTGTTGAACAAGAATGGCTTGTGTCTAATCACCCTCAAATTCAATAGAATTTTATTCGAAACCTATATCAAACTAAGGCTGTTTTTGTCTCATTTCAAATTATTCTCATATACTTTGAATTTAAAATGGTAAAATAGTTCAAAACAACATAAATCGATAAATTTGTTTTTGAATAACTTGTAGTTTTGTACATTAAATATGAAATCATTTGCTTTTGACTAACTAAAACACAATGATAGTTTTACCAATGATACACACAATGATAGTTTTTCAAGTAGAGTATTTACTTGACAATATCATGTAAATGGTAAATTTTATTTTTGTAGAACCTTACTCACTAACAGTGTTAGAATTGTTTTAATAAAATTCTGTGAATTAAATATAAAATAGCTAATAATATTATAAAAAATAGCCATATATATAGAAGGCTAAGTATTTTTTAAAAATGTTATAAATTATTAATATTACAGCTGACAGTCAGGGTTGCATACCCAGGTTAACAAACATAAACTACCTTATTACTAACAGTTAGAGCAGCTTTATCTTTATCATTATCTGTAACAATTATTGATATAATGATGAAATTATCATTTAATGTGTGTTAGCTGTTTCTGGGGATAACTAATCATTCATAAAATTTAGGGTTAACTTTATTAATAACATTTTCTGAAATGTAGGCATGTATATTACCAAAAGCAATTGTTGAATTCTTTAACCTCAAAAAAAGATTATCATTTTAAAAAAAGTCACCGTCATCATCTTCATTCAAAACTTCACCACCACTTTTATTATTGTTTAATAAAATTATTCTTCTTTTGTTAACCACCAATTTTTATAAAATCTCAAGCTGAAAATACTGAATTTTCAACAAAAAGTAAAAACATATATTATCATAATTGAAAGTTCTGTTAGAATAAAAATTGTATGCATAAATATTGATATGGTCTTTATATGCTTCTCAAAAAGAAGGGAATAAATTTAGCTGTTTCATTAGAAAACCTTTAGATTCCTAAGAATGCTTTCAGATATAAGTAGCATATTTTAAATCGCAAATTCTCCGATTGTAAATTCACTATGTGTATCCAGTTTTAACAGAGAATGTCTTAGGCCAGTTTTAACAGAGAAAGTAAGAGAAATAAATCTTAGGTTTTTGAACTTCATTATCTATGTGAAGTGTTGCTTTTTCAGCATTTATAGACATTAGATTAAAAAAAAAAAAAAAAAAAGGGAACAGGCTTTTGGATATGGGACCATATCTTAGATTAAAATTAACAACCAGGGAACCAAATTATGATGATCTGTCATCTCAACATGAATAATTTTATCCTTCTCATTGATTATTAATGAATGTTAATGAATATATAATTCTGCATCTGATATAATTTAAAAAAATAATCAAAATTCAAAACTTAATAAAGAAATTTGATAATGTAAAATTACATTGATTTCCTGTAATGTTTGTTCCACCTCCGTCTTAAGTTGAAAAATTTCTTTTTCCAGAAATTCACCATTTTTTCTTGTAGTAGAAACTTGCATTCCAGTTACAGCACTTAAGCTCTTGGTTGCTCCACCAAATGATTTGGATGGTATAACAGTGAAGTCTAGAAGATCTGCAGTATTATGCACATGACTAGAAGTAACAACAAAATTGAAAGAAAAAATATTAAATCTTCATACAAAATACTAATGTAAAACTTCGAAATGAAAGTCATTAACTTATACTAACGTCCCACAGCACGGTTCTAATGAAATGAGTTCGCCATCATCCCTGTTAGATTCAATAGCGATCACTGAAACAATCTCAGGATATTCCTGTTTAATGAAATAAACAAAAGCTATAGACAAATGAATAGCGCTAAATACATGTTTTAACATATAATTTTATACAAATTCTGCTAAAAAATATTTTTATGCTTTTATAATGTATGTTTGAAGTTCGGTTCTGTTCGGATTGGACTAAAGCATTACACAATGTGGCATTTATTAATACAGTCAAAAGTCTTTAATCCGGATGTCCATAATCCGGAATGATCTATAACCCGAGCCTCAAAGCTACAAACTTTCTGCGCATGCGTAAACGAATTGCATGCGCATATGTGTTTTACGCATGTGCATCATACCTTTACGCATACACATATGCGTTTACGAATTCGCATAATACGTTTATGCGTGCACGTTTAATGTATAACAGATAGTATAAGCTAAGCTAAAATTATCTATGTCTGTTAATGTTGCAGATTGCATTGTTCTTTAATCTTCTAATTGGATTATTATTTTTGCCAGCTTTAGAGCAATTTTATAAATGTAAGCTTGAACTTTCGATTATGTCAAAAAGAATTCGGATTCTGGAGCTGCCAAAGGATGTACGAAGCGAAAGCATGTTTCGATGTCCGTCAAACAAAAAGTGGAATTGCTGCAAAAAATGGATAAAGGCATAATCCTTTGTTCTCTAACCATTCCGAAATATTTATCAATTTAACTCTTGCGGGGGGGGGAACGACGCGGGCAATGAACTGGAAGTTGATTGTCAGCACTTCCATCTTCAGAGCAGATTTTATTTTATTCGCTTATAATTCTCAGTCATCTGATACTCCTGATAAAAATTCCTCGTCATTATAATATCACGAATACACATAAATTTTTGGTTGCAATTTTAATTTCGACTATGCGTAATGTATGCTTTATGCATGCGCGTTGAAAGAAATTTAATAAGTAAAACAATAAAATTATTTTTTTTTGTAAATATACCCTTTAGTCATAATTGCTCTTTATTTAAATTCGGTTCATATTTTTAATTTATAATTCTGCTGCCATCTTACAGATAAAACGATGATTTATAATCTGGAAAAATCGATAATCTTGCACTGCCAAACTCCCGACGAGTCCGGATTAAAGACTTTTGACTGTATCATAAATTATGAGAGCAAAAAGGTTACTGAGTGAATAAAAATGTACTTAAATAAGTTAGGTATGATAATCATAGTAGTTCATCAGTATGGTAGTGATTATTGTTGCGTCTGTCCAGGTTTATAATGGATTGAATGATGCACACAGAACCAATGAAACCTTGATTAACTCGGGAGCACACATGCTCTTTTGAGTTACACGAGCGCATGGCCTGGGTTCCAAAGACCCCGCTCGTCTTTTTTGAAGAAAAAACTGTTACTCTTCAGATAAAAGTCTTACATTTATACCAAAATATTATGATCAAACTTTAAACATAAGCAAATTATGAAAATTAAAATTTTAATTTTAATTTTTAAATATATTTATGAAATAAAAATTTTTAAAGGAATAGAAAAACTATTCTTTAATAAAGAATTTATTAGGAATTCCTTATATTACTATTCAGAAATTATTATTCAGGTTTAATAGAAATATACTGCCTGAAAGAACATCTTCCTCGGAAAGCTTCAAGTTCTTCATCAATTGTTCAGCTCACCGACAGTGTAATATTTCTGGCAGTTATCCACAAACTCTTCAAAAAACTCTCTTTCTTGACGATGCGAGTTCCTATGTCATCAAAACACAAACATCTTAATAAAAAAAAGTACGCGTTTGTACGACATAGTTTTGTAGAAAATTTTCAAGCCGGTTCCATGTGTTACGCATAGATCCCACACATTTACATGAGATGTCATAAAAATATAAAAGTGCAAATTTCAATTAAAGTTGTGTGACGAGCATTTCTCTCTCTTTGAAAGCTGTCAGAAATACAGTCAAAAGTCGTTAATCCGGACTCGTCGGGACTTCTGCGATTCCGGAATATCGATTTTTTCGGATTATAGATCATCAGTTTTAAATCTCGTAAGATGGCATGCAGAAATTCTAAAATTAAAAAATATGAAACCGTAATTTATGAAATAAAGAACAATTATGATCTAAAGGGTATCAAAATTTACAAAAAAAAGAAAAAAAAGCTTAATATTTATTTGTTTACTTTATTAAACATTCTTTCAATGTAAGTTGTTTCTTGATTTTATTGATACTAATACTTTCTCTTTAATTCTATTAAACAGACATAATTTCTTTTCATTAAAGTTCGCTGTTCAAGTCCCGTTAATTGCTGTGCCGAGAATACCGACTAATGTCAATGGAAATTTTTTCGTTTTCACTAACCTCTCTGTCACATTCTTCATGTCTTTATCCATTTTTTTCAGCAATTTCACTTTTTGTTTGTTGGACATTGAAACATACTTTTTTGTAGATCCTTTGGAATTCCAGTCGGAAATTCTATTTGACATAATCGAAAGTTCAAGTTTACTTTTATAAAATTGCTCTTACAGTCTGCAAAAAATAATAAGCGGGATCCAATTCGAAGATTAAGGAACAACGCAATCATTAAACATTAACTGAAATAGATAATTAGATAATTTTAGCCTACACCCCGTTATACATTAAACGCGCGAGAAACGTATTCTGCATTGCGCACACGCATATGCGCAGTCAAGTGTTACGCGCCGCGTAAACCCTATGCTCATGTGTAACGCGGCATGCAAGAAATTTGTGCTTGAGGTCCGATTATAGATATGCCGGATTATAGTGTCGAATTACGACTTTGACTGAGATGCAATATAATATTTGTATGCCTATGAATTTCAGAAACATTATTCACTTAGAAAAGTTCCCCTGATAATTGGGGCTAAACAATTTTGCATGACCGATGTTCAGGCAATTTAGAATAAATATTATGAGTCGGAGTTCTAACATAGTTTAGGCTTTTTTTTTTTTTTTTTTTTTTTTTTGTTTTCTAAGAAAGCAAAAAGCATACATGTCATATTTTCGTTTTAGGCAATTTAGTAATAATATTATGTAGAGTTATCACATCCGTTAGTCTCTTTTTTTTTTTTTTTTTTTTTTTTTTTGTCTATTCTAATAAGCAATAATTCACTCTCCTTTCATTCAGAATCCTCTCAAATTTCGAATCAGTATCATGAGAACTAAAAAATTCATTATAACTTTCATAATCAGTTTCTTCAGTGGAGTCTTCAACAGTTCATACATCTAATAATTTCTGCAAACGTAACATTTCTTCCCTATAGGATATACTACGTGACATATTTGCAGCTTTCTGTGCTACCACGAATGAACTACATTACAGAATGAGAATAGGATCTGAAAGACTTGATCCTGTCGAAACAAAACTCTGAATCAAATTTCCGGTGAAAAACTTTGGAAGCATAAAGGTGATGGCCTTGAAGGAGACTACACTGAACCACAACCACTTGGGCAAAATAGGGACGTTTTTAGAAACGTTTCTTTAATCGGGCAGGTCTATTGGACCCAGCGCGCACACTCGCGGGTTAAAATTTATTTACCAATATTTTACAGTTCTGGAGCTTCATACAAAAATATTGGTATGGCTCTTCACAGTATCACACAACAAAATGAATAGTTACCACTTCAAACTACTAAGATCGTTAAACACAATGCCATGCAAAGCGCATCTAAAGAACAAAACTCAAATGAAGGTAACTCAATACTCTGATGTTGATTCTGAACTGAGAATTGATGCTCTCTCCTAGCTTATACAGTTTTCTGACAGCCATCGAAAAAACTCGAGTATCTTCCATTTCTCGAATTTACTAGAAGGCAAATACAATTAAAATTATATATAAGAGACGAGGTTATAGTTACATATAGGGAGACGAGGTTATAGTTACATATGGTTATAGTTACATATAGGGATCAATTACAGTCATTCAATTACAGTTATACAGGGATCGAACTCAAATGTCAAAAAATGGTCGCCCAGTTTGGCGATTTCTCGCCAAGTTTGGCGACAAAATTTAGTTGCCAAACCCACTGTGAACTTGGCAGTATCTTGCGAATTTAGCGAGACAACCATTTAACTCAATGTTAAATAGACTTGTCCCTGTAATTTTATTTTTCTGGCAGAGCTTTGCAGTCTCAAGCACTTCATATTACATTAATACAAGAGATACTATGATTTCACTAAAATTATTATTAAGATACTTTTAGATATTATTAAGATATTTTAGATATTATTAAATATTTTTAATAATTTTATTCATTAATTATTGTGATAGGCAACTACAAAGTGGCTTTAAAACAAATGAATTTGTTATTACAGTATATTGAATACCGAATAGGATCGCTAGAGAAGTGAAAAATTGCCTTTTATATTGTAATTTGAAGCATTTTGTGGTTCTTAAGTGACAGAAAAATACATATAAACAAAATTATCCTTTTTTCACATACATTTTCCTTTTAATGAATTTTAAAAACAGTTTCCAAAAAGAAAATTTAAAAAAAAAAAGAAGTAGTTGTCGGTTTTATCACCAACTAGTAATTAATCACTGGATTTGGTGCCATTTATTGCCAAATAAGAAAGAAAATCAAAAATCAAGTAACATTTTCTTCACATTTCATTTTCTTATTCATGCATCAGCTTTGAGTTATAATTTTTTCTTCAATTTCTAAGTCTGCATGCTTGTAAAGCATATGTGCACTTGTGTGAATTTAAAATCCAACATAAAAGCAAGTGATAAGAACCGCAAAATTATTTTTCATTTGTTCACAGGAAATTCATTTTTTGTTATCATTTAAAATGATGACAATGTTTTAATTTACTTTCAACTGAAATTGAAGACTTAGCATTTTTTGAAGAAAGAAATTTTAGCTTCCCGAATTAGCAAAAATTGGAAAGAAATGAAGTGACATGTCATCATGGAAGTTTTATGAAAATGCAAGGTGAAAAAATTCCAGGGAAAAAGAAGCCTTCACATGAGTAATGAATTAAGGCATTTTTGGATTTGTATGCTATGAAAAGATACATAAGGGTCGACAACATCTTGAGGCATACCTGGCTGAGTTCTTGTGGTAGAGATATAAAAGCCATGATAATTTATTTGGTACCACATTAACTGCTACTGTCAATTTATGCCCATCAGAAAAAATTAGTTTTTTTTTTAATTACTTCTGCTTAAATTCCATCACTTAAAAGTGCTCCCAATTATTTTCAATGGCAACTGAACATGATAATATTTTCTCCTTGCCACTCTGAACACTGTTAAAACTGACAAATACTAAAAAAGTTAATATTTTAAAGAAAATTACCTCACCACGCAGCACTACAGCTTTTGGATTATCTAACAGTGCCTCAAATGGCATTTCCAATCTTTTCACTTTCAGGTTCTGTTCAATACAACTTTTGACAAAGCTTTCAATTTCCTTAACTTGTTCTGTACTTAATATTTTCTAAAATGTGAAATAAAATACATATAAATATTTCAGTAAACTAAAATGATAATCTTAAATTTAAAGTTACTTAAAACACAAAAAATAAAGTTATCCCGAGCTAATTTATTTGGCAGTTTGCAATTAAAATTCTAAATTTCAAATTCTAAAAGGTCAGAACCAAAAGTCTTACTGATACACAGCCAACTCCCAACTAGTTATGAGTAGATTAAATGGGTTTTTTTCAAAAAAGGCTAAGTATGTTTATTGAGAATGGTGAAAAAAATTACTCTCGCATCAGCATTAAAAAACTTTTTTAAAAAAAAATATGTGCACTGAAAATATAAAAAGAAAAGAAAACCTGTATGAGGTAACAACAGTGATAGTAGATAATATCATAATATTTGGGAATTTTTATCTACAATAGCAAATGTATAATTGTATGTAATCCTGAATAAAGTGCACTGCCTCATTATAAAAATAAATCTGATGCAAAGCTATTCATTTTCTAATTTCACATAGAACCACACTGAAACACGACAATAAACCAAAACACACATACAGTAGATTCACGTGAAGTGAGGAAAATAGATGCTCAAATTTTCTTCACGTTTTATTCTTTAACGATATTTATAACTTAGTTTCTTCATTTCTAACGATATTCAAATATTATTCTTTAATGATAATTATAACTTAGTTTCTTCATTTCTAATTATATTTATTCTATCATTATTTGCAACAATTCTGTTTGTTTTAAATGCAAATTTAATCTATGAAATCAAATAAATTTATTTTCCAGATTAAATTGCTTGGAAATACAGATAAACTGTCAATAGCATTTTTCTGTAAATTTTTAATATGCATTATTCTGCTTTCCCGTGTTTTTTAACTGTTTTGGATTAACCATGGTAGTGAGTAAACTGTAGATATCATTATCAGTATAGCCCGTCAAACTGGAAGTTGACTTCCATACTTGGAATCCATCTTAGCCCAAAAGCTATTCGAGATTTATTATGATTAAAAATGAAACACACAATTTTAGTTCTTTTTGCATAATGGACCCAAAATTTTATGATAATAAATAATGTAAAATATAATGAAAGTTATAATCACTCTTGCACTAAAGCCAAGTCGCAGATGTTTAGGTCCGACATATGAAGAACGCTGCATAGTATATGGTAAAAGTTTTCTCAAAGCTGCATTTAATAAATGAGTTGCTGTATGGTTCTGGGCACAAGCAAGATGATGAGCCTAAAAAACAAACAATATGATACATTTAATATATTTGAAATATTATATTAGTCTATATATTACACAATCAAATTTTTATTTATAAATGTACAGTAAAAAATATAGCATTTGGAAATCAAATATTGTAACACACATTACCTATATAAAACTTTCTTATGGACACATGTGAACTTTGTGCGAATAAAAATCAGAAGATTTTTGAAAAAAAATTCAGGGGAAAAAATATATATTTTTTACAGAGGAAACCAACACATATCTGAATATTTTGAAATAATTACTTAGAAAACTTATAATTTAAAAAAAAGATCATAAAATTAAAATTACTGACATTAATTTAAACATATTTCTTGCAGATCCCCTCCCCCCCAAAAAAGTACACTTTTTTTGGAAAAGAGTGCTGTTTCAGATTAATTTATTGCTTAAAAAATCACCCCAAACTTCTGGATCCAAATTTTTGTATGCAAAACGAAAGATTCCATATCCCCGAAAGAAACTAACTTGTAATGTAAGTTGTAACTTTTGATGTAATAAAGCAGATTAATTCCAATGGCAAACTGAATGTCAGCCAGGAGTATACACTTAAAATACAGCTTTGGTGACACATTGTGAAACTAGTACAATTTTTCACATCTTTATAAAATTTACAAATTTCATAAAAAATGAATTTTGTGCATAAGATTATACTTTTACAATTCATTAAAGTCAGCGAATACATATTTTACATACATTATTAAACACTGACATGTCTTCTAAAGAGTTGATTTTAATACTAAATACTAGTTCTACACATGCTCTTACATTTTCTTTCTTTCTCTTAATACATTTTCATTGTATATCTTGATTAAATGCTAAAATTCCTCTCTAAGATAATGAGAAATTTCTACTTCTAAAAGATTCTCTTGGAAAAGATTGGGGCAATATAAACTACTGAATGATTTATTCATAATGTAATGTAATGTAAAACATAATGTAAAAATGACGGATATATAAGTACACCATTTATTAGAATCAAGGACCAAAATGTATAACAAGACTCAAAGAATTTAAGAGAAATCGAATGTACTTTTGTTAAACCCCAACCGAAGCTGAGTAACATTATAAGTAAGAAAGGGAATTTGTATTTATGGAAATTAAACAAAAAATCTATAAAAGTACTTTGATAAAGAATATAAAACGGACAAAATTATTTCAAATAAAAAAATAAGTATTTAATTAATTACACAAGTCTGAATTCTGTATAATAATGTTTGCAATAAAACAGAGACAGGTGAAGAAATCATATTTACATAACCTATACATAATAATATTATTTTCGGCACGGGAGGGAACAAATTTTACAGTACAAAATTATGATATAGGTACTTTGAATATTTTCATCCATAAGATTATGTCTCCTCTTTTTTCTTTACCTTAGACATTTATAATTATCAGAAAGATAGAATGATAGCATTTTGAATGCATTGAACAGAAAGTCAAATGAATACAGGATGGATAAAAATAACAGCGGTAAAAAATCTTTATAAAATTTTATTTGAAACTAATACAGTCAAAAGTCGTTAATCCGGACTCATCGGGACTTCGGCGATTCCGGATTATAGATCATCAGTTTAAGTCTCGTAAGGGCATCACAAATTTTAAAAAAAAATGAAAACGTATTTTAGGAATAAAGAACAATTATGATTTAAAGGGTCAAAATTACAAAAAAAAGAAGCTTAATATTTATTGTTTACTTTATTAACATTTCTTCAATGTAGTTGTTGCGTTTTAGTGATAATACTTCTCTTATTCTATAAACAGACATAATTTCTTGTGTTAAAAAGTCGCTGTTGAAGTCCCGTAATTGCTGTGCCGAGAATACCGACTAACTCGTCATCAAATTTTTTCGTTTTCACTAACGAAACGTGTCACCTTCTTCATGTCTTTATCCATTTTTTGCAGCAATTCACTTTTTGTTTGACGGACATCGATACATACTTTTGTTTGTAATCCTTTGGGAGCTCCAGAACGGAATTGACATAATCGAAAGTTCAAGTTTACTTTTATAAATTGCTCTTACATCTGCGAAAATAATAAGCTGCATCCAATTCAAAGATTAAGGAATAATCGCATCAACATTAACTGAATAGATAATTGTATAATTTTAGCTTATACCGTTCGTTATACGTTAAACGCGCACGCAAAAACGTATTCTGCACTTGCGCACACGCATATGCGCAGACGTAAAAGGTCTTGTGCACACGTGTAAACGCCTATGCGCATGTGTCAACGCAGCGCATGCGCAGAAAGTTTTTAGCTTTGAGGTCCGGATTATAGATCATTCTGGATTATGGGTGTCCGAATTAACGACTTTTGACTGCATTGAATTTTTAATTAATACACCAGTCCAGCTAAAGACATTTTTTAGAAGTCATTTGTTGGATTAGCAAATAACTTTTAAAAAATTCCATTAGCTAGATCATCAACGTAAGAAACAATTACTGCCCCCTGTAATAACACTAATACCATTCATACTTTTAAATTGTAATACAAATATTTAATTCTAATATGATAATAGTATTTATCTTACAATATTATGCACAAGAAAACAAAACATTTATTATACCTCATTAACAGACATCTGAACTTGTTCACATTTCAAGGTGCCACCAGTAACAGTTCCATGGTGAAAGACAAACCCATGAGAAGAAGTCACATTTTCAACTTGAAAACTAAAGTCCTGTAACAAAACACAAATTAAAAATTTTTATAACTTTATTTAGATTTATACAATCATTCCTCACCATTATATTTTACCTATGTTTACAGAATTATCTGGAAGTAAACTTTTATTTCCCATATATTTGCACAGAAATATAAAGTAACTAAGTTTATTTTGTTTTAAGTAATTCCTCTACTCACTTTCTAATTGAGAAAGCAAGTATCAAAATTGGTTAAAAAAGGGGAAATTTTTATCTTTTTTTCATTAAGACTATTTAACTGTAAGATTACGTCATTTTTTCTCTTCTTGGCGCCTTGCATGGCGCAGATGTTCATTACAGCAACCCTGTAAACGCTTACTCAGTTTTTTTTTTATTGCTGTTGTTGTTAGTAGTAAGTCATCGCTTGAAAGATGGCACGCATTTGATTAAAGTTGTCGAATAAAATATTTAGTACAGTCCACTTCTAGTTAATTTGAAATTGTTGTATAACAACGCACGCATCGCATGAACACTTTATGGCCCGCCGAGCCACAGGTAAAAGATATCGTTGCTAAAATTAACTTTTTAGAACATTTGGAATACTTTCGTTTGGTTGTATTACGCATAACTTCATATAGAGTGTTTGGAATGCTTTCGTTTTCGTGTGGATTACGCAATTAAGATTGGATACTGTGTCATCGTTCATTTCCGGTGTTGCTGTCGAGAAATCTGCAATCACGGTAAGTGATAAATTATTTATTTGTTCATGATGAGTGAATTGAAAGCGATTAAAGCTAACAAAAAAAGTTTAAAATGCAGTATCAGAAAGTTTGAAAATAAGGTAAATTCTACAGTGGATGAAGCAGATATTTCCTTATTGGAGTTATACGAATCAAAAATATTAGAATTTAAAAAGGAATTAAGTAACATTTTCGATTCTTTATTTGCACATTGTGAAGAAAAGGACACTGACGAATTCATTAAGGAAAAGGAAAATGTAGTAGATAATCTCGATGAAATTCATTTGAAAATTAAAAGAAAAATTTCTGAGATCCGTTCTCAAAGGAATAGCTGCTCAAATGAAAACGGTTCGAGTAAAGACATAATTGTTTCGGATATAAAATTGCCTAAATTGTCTCTTCCAATATTTAGTGGGAAAATCGAAGAATGGATTGAATTTGAGGATTTATTTTCCGCAGCTGTGCATAAAAATAGCAAATTAACTAATGCGCAAAAATTGCAATATTTAAAGAGTTCGTGTAAGGCAGACGCTTTAAATATTATTCAGTCCATTCCAATTTCAGATTCGAATTATGACATAGCATGGAATCTGTTGGTTGATCGCTATTGCAACAAAAAAGATTTGATCAATTCTATCATAAAGAAATTAATTTCTATACCTCAAACGAGTGATTCTACTTCGTCGCTTTTAAAATTTATCGATAAGGTGCATGAATGTTTACGATCCTTGGAAGCATTGGAGCAAAAGGTGGAAGAATTTTCAGACACGTTAATTGTTTATTTATTAGTTGAAAAGTTGGATAGAAATACTCGGTGTTGGTGGGAAAGGTCACTTAAAAAAGACGAGATAGGAACGGTTAAACAACTGACATGTTTTTTGAAGGAACACGCTCGCACCCTATCACATTACAAACCTCCGCATGGGGAATCGAAACGTTCATTTAATACCAAAGCTCTTACATCACTTTCGGAAAATTCAAAAAATTGTCCTTATTGTAAAGCTGATCATTTATTGTTGAAATGTGCGCAATTCTTAAATCTAACAGTCAAGAAACGATTGGAATTTGTAAAGACAAAAAAACTATGTTTCAATTGTTTATCTTCGGTCCACACAATCAAGGACTGTAAAAGTTCTAATACATGCAGAAAATGTCAGAAATTTCACAATTCGCTCTTACATTTTGATCGAAATGAAGAAAATTTCGATAAAGCAAATGGCACATCGAATCAAATCACAAACAAGACTAATAAATTAAGCAGTAATCTTTCTCCAAATGCTGATACATTTACTCCAATGGCAAGCAGCCAAAAGGTTAGTGACACTAATGAAACCAACCAAGCAAAGTCCATTAACGGTACTGCGCTGAATATTTCCAGTTCTTTTAATAAACAAGTTCTACTTTCAACTGCAATTATTTTCGTTAAGGGTAATGATGGAAAATTTATCTCGCTGAGAGCCTTGCTGGATTCCGGTTCTCAAAATAATTTCATTACTAAAGAAGGTGCTGAGTTATTGAATTTGAAGAAAAGAAAAATAAACGCTTCTATTTCAGGTATCAATGGTACAGTTATGGGTGTTAAGGAAAAAGCTATAGCAACCATCGCTAACGCTACTAGAGATTTTATTCGTACCTTACAATTTTTTGTTGTTCCAAAAATAACTCGCGTAACGCCTGCTAGATATATAAACATTCCTGATGTTAAGCAGTTGCAACTCATTGGTTTAGCTGATCCAGAGTTTTATAAACCTGGTCAAATACATGTTTTATTATCTAACGAAATATTTTTTGATTTACTGGGAACAAATAGAATAAATATGCAAGACCTGATTCTCCATCAGTCAGTTTTTGGATACATCGTTAGCGGGTCAGTACGCATGCCGCAGCAAGGCAGTGTTGATAATTTTTGTGGGTTTGTGGAAAATGGGGATAATTTATCTGACAACATGAGAAGGTTTTGGGAGATTGAAGGTATTAATGAAGCAAAAAAAGTGAAAAGTCAGGAAGAGGAATTTTGTGAACAGCACTTTCTTCGTACACACACGAGGCAAGGCAAGATGATGGCAGATATGTAGTGGAAATGCCAATTAAGGAGGAAGGACTTAGCCTTTTAGGGGAATCGAGAGAAAACGCTAGCAAAAGACTGAATTATCTACTTAAACGCTTCACTCGCAATCCCGCAATGAAACACTTATACGAAGATTTCATTAAGGAATATAATGAATTAGGCCATTCCGAAGAAATTGATGAAGGGGATAGCTCTAGTTTCTCATATTATCTTCCTCACCATGGGGTTTTCAGGCCCGAGAAACCTAGCACTAAACTTAGGGTAGTGTTCGATGCCACTGCTCCTACGACTACTGGAATTTCGTTAAACGATATTCTGCTGAATGGAGGGTTAGTTCAAGACGAACTATTTGATATTATTTGCAGATTTCGAACGCATAAAATTGCCTTCACAGCAGACATTGTAAAAATGTATCGTCAGATTTTGATTAAAGAACATCAAAGAGATTTATTACGCATCTTATGGAAGAGTAGTGAAGAAGAACCAGTTAAGGTCTATAGACTGAAGACTATAACTTACGGTACTTCCAACGCACCATATCTAGCAACACGCACACTTAATCAATTAGCAGAAGACGAGAAAAAATAATTTTTCGTTAGCAGCGCCAATAGTACAAAGGGATTTTTATGTCGATGACGTACTCACAGGAGCCCATACTCTAATAGAGGCTAAAGAATTACAGTCGCAATTGATTAACCTATTATCACGTGGAGGAATGCGTCTGCACAGATGGTGTGCTAATCATCCTGATCTTTTGCAGTTTCCGGATGGACAAGAGGAATATTCTTTCAGTAATTTCGATGACGATCAGAGCATCAAAACTTTAGGATTATTATGGAATCCAAAGATAGATTGTTTTTCGTACAAATCAACCATCAAGAAACCAACTACTTACACACGGGAACAGTGTTGTCTGATATTGCTCGCATTTATGATCCATTAGGACTGCTTGGTCCAGGGATAACAAAAGCAAAAATCTTCATCCAAAGACTTTGGTTATTGAAGCTTGATTGGAACGATCCGCTACCCGAAAGGATAATTAAGGATTGGCAACTTTTTATTGATTCAATGCAATCTATCAACAATTTGAAAGTCAGTAGATATGTTTTACAGGATAGTTTTTCTGATATACAAATTCATGGATTTTCAGATGCATCAGAACACGCATACGGAGTAGCCATCTATTTACGCTGTAGAAGTGACAATAATTTATCTTCACATTTGCTTTGCAGCAAGTCCAGAGTAGCTCCACTAAAACCGCTGACAGTACCTCGACTGGAACTCTGCGCAGCTGTACTGCTAGCACAGCTTGTTGCAAAGGTGGTGCCTTTATTGAAATTGGACATCAGTAAAATATGTCTGTGGTGTGACTCAACCATAGTGTTAGCGTGGCTTCAGAATCCTCCGCATGTACTAAAAACTTTTGTTGCTAATCGAGTGTTGCAGATCCAAGAGCTAACACATACATGCCAGTGGAATTATGTGCGTTCAGAGGAGAACCCAGCAGACCTTATTTCCCGAGGACTGAATTTTGACAAGCTGCATGATGCTGATCTGTGGTGGAAAGGTCCTCCATTCTTGAGTGAGGGTGTCATACCTAACAAGAACATTGACTTTGAACAATTAGAAAAAACAGAGACATTTTCTAATGAACTGAGAAAAAGAACTGACATTGCTTGTTTATGCACTTTGCCTTCAAAATTTATTGATAATGTCCTAGATATCACTAACAATTATTTAAAATTATTACGTATTGTTAGTTATATTTTCAGGTTCATTTGGAACTCTAGGTGTGCAAAACAGAAAGGAGCACAGAGAAGAACAGGAGGAGTAAGTTCAAAGGAGTTAAATGAGGCAGAATCCTTTTTAGTAAGAGAGGTTCAAAAATGTAGTTTTTATTCAGATTACAACTCCCTCGCACAAGGTAAACCCATTAATAATAAAAGTAATTTACTTTCTTTGAACCCTTTTTTGGATGCAAATAATGTAATGAGAGTAGGAGGCCGATTACAAGGGGCCAATGTAATGTTTTCACAAAAACATCAAATAATTTTGCCTGTTAAATGCAAAAACTAACTAAGCTGATTGCTGAGCATTATCATCGGAAATATTTACACGTAGGTTCGCAAGCATTATTGTGTTTTATGAGACAGAAATTTTGGCCATTACAAGGTAGGAATTTAACTAGAAAGATTACCCATGAATGTATAATTTGTAGTAAAAATAAACC